TGCAAAAATGGAGGCTCTAGACCCTTCCAGAGCTGAGATATCGAAACTCAAAAATTCGACCCGAAAAAAAACGACAGTGTTACCCCTTTCGTTTTTTTTTTTTTGGCGAAAAATTAAGTTTCTCCAATCTTCTCAAAACTCTGGATTATGATAGAGGGCCATGAGACTTAGACCTGAGTGCAAAAATGGAGGCTCTAGCCCCTTCCAGAGCTGAGATATCGAAACTCAAAAATTCGGCCCGAAAAAAAAAACGACAGTGTTACCCCTTTCGTTTTTTTTTTTTGGGCGAAAAATTAAGTTTCTCCAATCTTCTCAAAACTCTGGATTATGATAGAGGGCCATGAGACTTAGACCTGAGTGCAAAAATGGAGGCTCTAGACCCTTCCAGAGCTGAGATATCGAAACTCAAAATTTCGACCCGAAAAAAAAACGACAGTGTTACCCCTTACGTTTTTTTTTTTTGGGCGAAAAATTAAGTTTCTCCAATCTTCTCAAAACTCTGGATTCTGATAGAGGGCCATGAGACTTTGACCTGAGTGCAAAAATGGAGGCTCTAGACCCTTCCAGAGCTGAGATATCGAAACAAAATTTCGACCCGAAAAAAAAAACGACAGTGTTACCCCTTTCGTTTTTTTTTTTGGGCGAAAAATTAAGTTTCTCCAATCTTCTCAAAACTCTGGATTATGATAGAGGGCTGTGAGACTTTGACCTGAGTGCAAAAATGGAGGCTCTAGACCCTTCCAGAGCTGAGATATCGAAACTCAAAATTTCGACCCAAAAAAAAAAACGACAGTGTTACCCCTTACGTTTTTTTTTTTTGGGCGAAAAATTAAGTTTCTCCAATCTTCTCAAAACTCTGGATTCTGATAGAGGGCCATGAGACTTTGACCTGAGTGCAAAAATGGAGGCTCTAGACCCTTCCAGAGCTGAGATATCGAAACTCAAAATTTCGACCCGAAAAAAAAACGACAGTGTTACCCCTTACGTTTTTTTTTTTTTTGGGCGAAAAATTAAGTTTCTCCAATCTTCTCAAAACTCTGGATTCTGATAGAGGGCCATGAGACTTGACCTGAGTGCAAAAATGGAGGCTCTAGACCCTTCCAGAGCTGAGATATCGAAACTCAAAATTTCGACCCGAAAAAAAAAACGACAGTGTTACCCCTTACGTTTTTTTTTTTTGGGCGAAAAATTAAGTTTCTCCAATCTTCCCAAAACTCTGGATTCTGATAGAGGGCCATGAGACTTAGACCTGAGTGCAAAAATGGAGGCTCTAGACCCTTCCAGAGCTGAGATATCGAAACTCAAAAATTCGGCCCGAAAAAAAAACGACAGTGGTACCCCTTACGTTTTTTTTTTTGGGCGAAAAATTAAGTTTCTCCAATCTTCCCAAAACTCTGGATTCTGATAGAGGGCCATGAGACTTAGACCTGAGTGCAAAAATGGAGGCTCTAGCCCCTTCCAGAGCTGAGATATCGAAACTCAAAAATTCGGCCCGAAAAAAAAAACGACAGTGGTACCCCTTACGTTTTTTTTTTTTGGGCGAAAAATTAAGTTTCTCCAATCTTCCCAAAACTCTGGATTCTGATAGAGGGCCATGAGACTTAGACCTGAGTGCAAAAATGGAGGCTCTAGCCCCTTCCAGAGCTGAGATATCGAAACTCAAAAATTCGGCCCAAAAAAAAAACGACAGTGGTACCCCTTACGTTTTTTTTTTTGGGCGAAAAATTAAGTTTCTCCAATCTTCCCAAAACTCTGGATTCTGATAGAGGGCCATGAGACTTAGACCTGAGTGCAAAAATGGAGGCTCTAGCCCCTTCCAGAGCTGAGATATCGAAACTCAAAAATTCGGCCCGAAAAAAAAACGACAGTGGTACCCCTTACGTTTTTTTTTTTGGGCGAAAAATTAAGTTTCTCCAATCTTCCCAAAACTCTGGATTCTGATAGAGGGCCATGAGACTTAGACCTGAGTGCAAAAATGGAGGCTCTAGCCCCTTCCAGAGCTGAGATATCGAAACTCAAAAATTCGGCCCGAAAAAAAAAACGACAGTGGTACCCCTTACGTTTTTTTTTTTGGGCGAAAAATTAAGTTTCTCCAATCTTCCCAAAACTCTGGATTCTGATAGAGGGCCATGAGACTTAGACCTGAGTGCAAAAATGGAGGCTCTAGCCCCTTCCAGAGCTGAGATATCGAAACTCAAAAATTCGGCCCGAAAAAAAAACGACAGTGGTACCCCTTACGTTTTTTTTTTTGGGCGAAAAATTAAGTTTCTCCAATCTTCCCAAAACTCTGGATTCTGATAGAGGGCCATGAGACTTAGACCTGAGTGCAAAAATGGAGGCTCTAGCCCCTTCCAGAGCTGAGATATCGAAACTCAAAAATTCGGCCCAAAAAAAAAACGACAGTGGTACCCCTTACGTTTTTTTTTGGGCGAAAAATTAAGTTTCTCCAATCTTCCCAAAACTCTGGATTCTGATAGAGGGCCATGAGACTTAGACCTGAGTGCAAAAATGGAGGCTCTAGCCCCTTCCAGAGCTGAGATATCGAAACTCAAAAATTCGGCCCGAAAAAAAAACGACAGTGGTACCCCTTACGTTTTTTTTTTTGGGCGAAAAATTAAGTTTCTCCAATCTTCCCAAAACTCTGGATTCTGATAGAGGGCCATGAGACTTAGACCTGAGTGCAAAAATGGAGGCTCTAGCCCCTTCCAGAGCTGAGATATCGAAACTCAAAAATTCGGCCCGAAAAAAAAACGACAGTGGTACCCCTTACGTTTTTTTTTTTGGGCGAAAAATTAAGTTTCTCCAATCTTCCCAAAACTCTGGATTCTGATAGAGGGCCATGAGACTTAGACCTGAGTGCAAAAATGGAGGCTCTAGCCCCTTCCAGAGCTGAGATATCGAAACTCAAAAATTCGGCCCGAAAAAAAAACGACAGTGGTACCCCTTACGTTTTTTTTTTGGGCGAAAAATTAAGTTTCTCCAATCTTCCCAAAACTCTGGATTCTGATAGAGGGCCATGAGACTTAGACCTGAGTGCAAAAATGGAGGCTCTAGCCCCTTCCAGAGCTGAGATATCGAAACTCAAAAATTCGGCCCGAAAAAAAAAACGACAGTGGTACCCCTTACGTTTTTTTTTTTGGGCGAAAAATTAAGTTTCTCCAATCTTCCCAAAACTCTGGATTCTGATAGAGGGCCATGAGACTTAGACCTGAGTGCAAAAATGGAGGCTCTAGCCCCTTCCAGAGCTGAGATATCGAAACTCAAAAATTCGGCCCGAAAAAAAAACGACAGTGGTACCCCTTACGTTTTTTTTTTGGGCGAAAAATTAAGTTTCTCCAATCTTCCCAAAACTCTGGATTCTGATAGAGGGCCATGAGACTTAGACCTGAGTGCAAAAATGGAGGCTCTAGCCCCTTCCAGAGCTGAGATATCGAAACTCAAAAATTCGGCCCGAAAAAAAAACGACAGTGGTACCCCTTACGTTTTTTTTTTTGGGCGAAAAATTAAGTTTCTCCAATCTTCCCAAAACTCTGGATTCTGATAGAGGGCCATGAGACTTAGACCTGAGTGCAAAAATGGAGGCTCTAGCCCCTTCCAGAGCTGAGATATCGAAACTCAAAAATTCGGCCCGAAAAAAAAACGACAGTGGTACCCCTTACGTTTTTTTTTTTGGGCGAAAAATTAAGTTTCTCCAATCTTCCCAAAACTCTGGATTCTGATAGAGGGCCATGAGACTTAGACCTGAGTGCAAAAATGGAGGCTCTAGCCCCTTCCAGAGCTGAGATATCGAAACTCAAAAATTCGGCCCGAAAAAAAAAACGACAGTGGTACCCCTTACGTTTTTTTTTTTGGGCGAAAAATTAAGTTTCTCCAATCTTTCCAAAACTCTGGATTCTGATAGAGGGCCATGAGACTTAGACCTGAGTGCAAAAATGGAGGCTCTAGCCCCTTCCAGAGCTGAGATATCGAAACTCAAAAATTCGGCCCGAAAAAAAAAACGACAGTGGTACCCCTTACGTTTTTTTTTGGGGCGAAAAATTAAGTTTCTCCAATCTTCCCAAAACTCTGGATTCTGATAGAGGGCCATGAGACTTAGACCTGAGTGCAAAAATGGAGGCTCTAGCCCCTTCCAGAGCTGAGATATCGAAACTCAAAAATTCGGCCCGAAAAAAAAACGACAGTGGTACCCCTTACGTTTTTTTTTTTTTCGGGTGAAAAATGAAGTTTCTCCAATCTTCCCAAGACCTGAGTGCAAAAATGGAGCCTCTAGAGCTTTCTTGAGCTGAGATATTGAGATCCCACATAGCATTTTTTTAAAAGCATTAATTGTTAAAAGCATTGCATTTAACAATGCTTTAAACAAGGTGAAATGCTCCAGAAGTTAAAAAAGGGGGCTGACATGTGATGTCCATTGTAATGGACACAGGGTCTGAATGGGTTAATCATTATTATTACATCTTTCTAGTTAGTAGTAATATTAAATATTCTATTTCTTTAGTACACACACACACACACACACATATATATATTGCAGTAAGTATAAGTATATTATTTAATTTAGGAAAAATATATCTGCTATTATATTTTAGGAAAGAACTGCATTTTTTAAAATTGTTTGCACCCTTTTAATGCTTGTCTGTTCCAATAACAGTTAATTGTCAATGTTATATCAGTGTTTAAATCCTAAAGCACCAACTTTGTTCTATTTACAGTCTACTGCACTGTTTCTGCAGGCTGAAATATGACATTCTGCTCACATTGTTTTCTCTATTAGTATATCAATTTCCACTGGATATCTGATGCTTTCCATATGCTAATCTGCAAGTTTAATGAGACGTGCCACCATAGCAACATTTCACCGAAATGAATGAAGGGACACTTTCTATTGTTCGGCTATTGGAATATGTTTTTCTGCAGTTTTAAACCCAACATGATGTCACTGTGTTTTCTTAGTTTCATTATTTTTGGATGATATGTAATTTGCTTTCCTTTTTTTGTAGGAAGTTATTGCTGATTCAATATAGAGCATGTTGATTGATCAGCTCATGGATCCTCTCTGAGACTGTGCGAGAGAGAGAGAGGGAGGAGCAAAGAATAAAGTATTAGACAGTCATACAAGACAAGTTTAGAGGAAACACCTGGAACGATAGATTGGGGAGGTGACACTGGAGGTGACACTGCCAAGAGAGGACAAACCTTACCCTTCTTTCATCTGAGTCTTCCTGTTGTGGAGGATGAGTGCTGTCTTTGCTAAACTGGACCCCAGGAGAATTGAGTGGGAGTCGTCCTGGTATGGACTCCACTCACGAATCCTGCGCACTAAACCTGTGGACTCCATGCTGGATGGCCCAGATGACCTGCATGGCACCAGACTTGCCCGTGTGCTCACTACAGTGGATCTGGTGTCTCTTGGGGTGGGCAGCTGCGTGGGCACTGGCATGTATGTGGTTGCTGGGCTTGTTGCTAAGGAAATGGCAGGACCTGGAGTGATCTTGTCCTTCATCATTGCAGCTGTGGCGTCCATTCTATCAGGTGAGACATTATGACTGTTAACAATTTATAAACATTTTACAATTTAGAGCGTTAAAAACAACTGCTGGTGCTCTAGTTTAATAGGCCTGTCATCTTTCCAGTCAACTATATAATAGCATATCTATGTTTTTCATATGTGCCCTTGACGGCAAGATAACCCCACCTGTCTGTAATTACGGGCAGCTGTGATGAGGTTTTCATAGCTTTTTATTTTGAGGAAATTCTTCAAATTTAAGTCTAAAGTTCATGAACCCACAGCAATAATCTATGCATTATGGGGTCGTGTAGTTAGCCTTCAGAAGTTGTGATTTGACAAAGTATTTTATAAAAAAAATATAAATGAAATAATAATTAAGAACCAACTAACCAGACCCATCAAGACCCACATCCTAATCCCAAGACTGAAACTTGTCAGTACAAGAACCAGTAATGGAGTAATAAAATAAAAAATAAAATGCTGAATTTATTATAGAATTTATTTCAAACACCAGACAATCAAGTTTTCTCTTTGTTTACACTTTTCAAATAAATAAATACAAATTAATACATTTTAATAAATCAAAAATAACACATAATAAAAGTATTGCATAAACGCATTATTATATAAATATACTTTCAATATAAATTTACAATAAAATATAAAAGTGAATTGTATAATAAAAGTGTCAAGGTTTGAGTAGGTGAAAGGAGCGAAGACGAATATTTATTAGTATAAAAACAATTGACTTGACTTGACTTGACAGGAGAGCCCATGGCACAGTGACAAACACATGAGCACATGGCCAGCAAACTCAAATCAACAGTGCCCCAACAAAACAAAACATGACCACTCATAAGGCACTGGCAGTGTTCATAGAAAACATGACAACATGAAAGCACGCAGCCAGTGATAAATACAAGCTGCATGCAACACAACGCAAGACAAAACATGACATGAAAGCACATGAGACAAAGCACACAGACAAGACAAAACAGAAGTGTCAGGGCTCTGTCACAAAAACAAAAAGACAGAAGGGACAGAACTTTCACTATACATTACATTTTCATAATAATGAGATAATGAAAACACATTATGAGATCCAAATAAACCTAATGATTTCAAAAATCATTACTTTCAGTCTATTGCATAATGTACTTGCTAAACAGCTAATCTCAGGGCTTTCCACACAGGGGTCTGCTATGCTGAGTTTGGAGTGAGAGTGCCCAAGACAACAGGCTCCGCCTACACGTACAGTTATGTCACAGTGGGAGAATTTGTGGCCTTTTTCATTGGTTGGAATCTCATCTTGGAGTATCTGATTGGTACAGCTGCGGGGGCCAGTGCACTGAGCAGCATGTTTGACTCTTTAGCCAATCACACCATCAGCCGCTACATGATCAACCATATTGGAACGATGAATGGTCTGGGTGAGTGTCTAATGATGCTACACAAATCATTTGTTTTGTTTATGGGGTCTTTATCCATTCTTAATGTTGAAGTTCATCACACAGCTCATTTATTTATCCATGCATCTCATATCAGGTAAAGGAGAAGAATCTTATCCAGACCTGCTGGCTCTGGTGATCGCTATGTCGGTGACGGTCATTGTGGGTTTAGGGGTGAAAAACTCTGTGAGCCTCAATAATGTGCTGAATGTTATTAACTTGATCGTGTGGGTCTTCATGGTGATTGCCGGACTGTTTTTCCTTTCTGGAGCCAACTGGGAGGATGGGAGGTTCCTTCCCTATGGCTGGTCAGGGGTAAGAATGTTAACTGTAAGGGAAAAAATGCATTTGTCTTTATGCCTACTATAGAGATCCGTAAATATTGTGCGCTCTGTAGGTCATGCAAGGAGCTGCAACCTGTTTCTACGCCTTTATTGGCTTTGATATTATCGCCACCACTGGAGAAGAAGCTAAGAGCCCAGACACTTCCATTCCATATGCCATAACAGCCTCCCTCGTCACCTGTCTCACGGCGTACGTGTCTGTGAGTACAGCGACTCCTCTCACACTCCAGTACTAAACTGCACGTGAACTTAGGATAATATTTCATTATGCTTAACACAATCATTTTCAACAAAGAGAAAATTGTCATCTATGGCTTCGACCGGTTTTCTGGAGGAGCCCAATGAATTGCCTTTCATTATGACCATAATTATCCTAAGTTTACCAAATATGATATAGTTCATCTATAGTTATATCTGCTTTCTAAAGATTTGTTATATTAATCCTGATTATTATAACTGAATGCCATAGTTTTTAATAGTTAAACATAGCAAATAAAATTGCATATAATTTGTCTTTCTATGGAGTTTCTTCTCATTATTGTCACAATTATCTTGTTGGCTGGGGCTTGTCAGGCAGTATTCTCTTTAACAATTAATTTTTTCATAATTGTGTCAATTCATACTGTAAGTGCGCTGCAAATAGATTCACAATTCGATTCAAGCACTTTAGAGCTGAGATTTATTTAAGATCTCCAGAGGCCCAATCCTGAGCTGAATACGTCTGCGCATTCTTTTTCAAATATTAATCTGAAAGCAATTACCTTTTACTCTCCTGAGACAGATTAAATGAGGCACATGTGTTTTCTTAGTGTACAATGGAATTGGAGGAATCATCCTACAGCCTCCATCCACAGCCTTGACAAACTGCCAAATAATAACATTTTTACCTGTTTATCTGTCTTAGGTGAGTGTTATTCTGACGTTGTTGGTGCCATTTAACCTGATTGATGGAGATGCTCCGCTCATGGAAATGTTTGCCGATCATGGCTTCCTGGCAGGAAAGTATATCGTAGCCATTGGTGCTGTTGCAGGACTCACCGTCAGCCTGCTGGGATCTCTGTTCCCGATGCCCAGAGTCATCTATGCCATGGCGGGAGATGGTCTGCTCTTCAGGTACATTAATAGTGTAGAACGGTTACAAGGGAAGTCAGTTTTCACTCAGCAGCCATATTTTTTGCATTGCCTCCAGGCAGCTCCAAGCATGCAAGGCCAACTTCTATTTATTTGAATAGGAAAGTACAGAAATCTCAAAATTTAAGTAACGTTTAAATTAAATCAGCAACAAAATCAGTCCCAACATTTATCTTATGCTCCCAATAACAAAAAAAGGTGTATATTTCGTGTTGGCTCAGCCAATTTGCATGTGCAGTCCTGAGAGTGTGAACTCTCTAGTATGGTAAATAGAGCTTCTAACAGCAGCTTCAGTGATGAAATGACTTGACCAATAGAGTGCAAGAGTTGGGTTCCAGAAATAAAAAATCCAATTATTTTCTCCATAGTTAAATAATTTTTAATGAGAAACCTTTTAAAGACTGGCCTGATGTGAGTTTTAAAGTTGTTAATCAACGGGATATGCTTTTTTTGAATCTATCTGTTATGTCAAGAAAGGTTTCTGCTAGGTGCCACTTGTGTCACAGAAACTACTTACTTCACCTTTAAGTTCAAAATCTTGTATTTGTTGTCTTTTTGTCAGATTTCCAAATACTTTTTTCTTCAAATGTAATGTTGTGATTCCCCTCATAGCTGGTTGGCTTGGTTAATGGCTTATCATGTTTTTATAAGACTTTTTAAAAGTCCCAGACAGCAACATAGCTTTGGGCCAGATCCAGCCAACATCTGGTAGGCGTGGAATCCACAAGTACCAGATGTGGTCCTGATCTGGGCCAACACTATGTTGCTGTCTAAGGTGAATGGAAAATATTATTCTGGAACCAACACTGCTTAAAAGGTGGGCAGGTACTAATGCACTCTTGTGGCAGTTGCCTGTTGTATTTAGAAGGCGGGACTTCTATTACTAGAGCCGCCATTTTGCGTGTTACAGTTTCCCTTTTAATTTCAATAGGACTGCACTATCTTGTTATGCTCATATGCTTATTTTACAGGCAATTGATCCTAAGTGTGCTTGTGTGTATGCCAGGTTCCTGTCCTTTGTGAGTCCCCACACAGAGACCCCCGTGGTGGCCTGTGCTGTATCGGGGTCTCTGGCTGCTCTTTTGGCTCTCCTGGTGAGTCTGAGAGACCTGATCGAGATGATGTCCATCGGCACGCTGCTGGCCTACACGCTGGTGTCGGTGTGTGTGCTGCTTCTGCGATACCAGCCCGATAAAGACAGCTTCACCAGTTTCCTCACAGAGCAGGAAGAGGAGGAAAGGAAGAGAAAAGAGGAATTAATGGCGGCTAGTGAGAAGGACATGAACTCGCCTTGTGGAGAAGGGTATGCCGACAACCCATGTGGGGCCAAGAACCTTCCCTCCAAAGGAGACGACGAAACACTGATTGAAAAGTCGGATTCTGGGGGCTACCAGTCGGACAGTTCTGGCTTCGGCGTTGGAGAGAATGGCATCGAGGCAGACGACTCCGGTCTCTTGAAACGCGTATTGGGGTCTCAATATTACACCATGCGGATGCGTTTGGGCCTGCCGAATGTGGGCGATAGGCCCACTCCTGCAACAGGACGTACTGTTACTACCTGCGTTCTCCTTTTCTTCATCCTGACCTTCTTTCTATGGATGCTCGTCATCTACGGCTTCGACCAGGTTTCAGGAGGAGCCCGCTGGGCAATATTGCCTTTCATTATGACTATAATTATCCTCATGGTTATTTTGGTTGTTATTATTCTTCGACAACCTGAGAACCCTAAAAAGCTACCTTACATGGCGCCCTGTGTGCCCTTTGTGCCCACAGCTGCCATGCTGGTGAACATATACCTCATGCTCAAACTGTCCACCATCACCTGGGTGCGCTTTGTGGTGTGGTGCTCACTAGGTAGGCCAAGTCTTCTCTTTATATATGCTCCATATATTCTTAATCATCTGCAAAGGACCTTTCAAACCAAGAACGATAACTATAACTATATTAGCATCCACACACCAATGTATGATAATATTCTGTTTATTATAAGCACATGCTGAAGACTTGAGCTCTTTAAAGTGGAAAGGATTCTGATTGGCTGTCAATGTTTTAATTGCTCATCATCTGGAAAAAATCTAATGTTGTGGACTTTCCTAATCTCATATTATCAAAACAATTATTAAAATGTATTATTCTAGTTATGATGTGAACAGACCTTACCTGACCCCATCTCTTCACCCTACAGGTGTGCTGATCTATTTTAGCTATGGGATGTGGAACAGCTCACTGGAACTCAGCGCTAGAGAGGAAGCGGCTCACGCCAGCTCCTACCAGAGGTACGACACAGAGGTTGACGACAGCTTCAATGTTGATGAAGACCTCCCTCCTCAGGAGGACGAAGATGAGGGACAGTACCAAGGCTGGGCAGGTGAGGAGCGTGGCTATCAGTACCAGCTGCAGGATGATGAAGAGAGACCAAAGAACAGAGATTACAGAAGTAAAGGCAGGACCAATAAAGGCTTTGAGGAGCTGGTCAATGAAGAGTATTCACCGGAGTGAGCAATATAGACTGAACCGTTGTCGCAGTTGAGGTTGGATTTGGGTGACTATGATTTTTCCAAATGGAATATGTTCCTGGATCATTGAAATTACTGACAAAAAAGCGGAAAGAGTTTAAAAAATAAATAAAAATAAACATTATTACGCAACAATTACAAAATCGAAGGGAAAATGTGCATGAGCATTAATTAAACAATTTTAATCAAAACCAACCGTTGAAAAAATATGACAAGAAAAGTAATGCGGACCCCTTTAAATTTAAATTAATATCATAGTCACAGACAGTAAAATGTTGGCCCAGATCCGGGCCACATCTGGTACATGTGGATTCCACGCCTACCAGATGTGGCCCGGCCAGATCTGGGCTAACACTATGTTGCTGTCTATGGTGAATGGAAAATATTATTCTGGAACCAACACTGCTGATAAAGTGGGCAGGTAGTAATGCACTCTCATGGTAATTGGCTTTATGCACAGCTCCACTACTTCCTGAACTTCAATCAGCTCCTTGTTTCCTGTCTGCCCTTATTGGACAAACTGATTAATCCAGGTGTGTCTGACCTCAGTAGTCACAACGACAATAATCAAGCACACCTGAATTAATCAAGTTTGTCCAATAATGGAAGACAGGAAACAAGGAGCTGGCTGAAGTTCAGGAAGTAGGGCAGCTGTGCATAAAGCCAATTGCCCGTTGGACAAAATGTTTGGCATACGTTACCAGAAAGAATCCTTAGTTTAACCGTAAGTTATGATTTTTTTTTTAGATGAATGCATTTATGAATTGTTCACAATAAGATCACTAACATTAATTTATAAAACAAATTTGAATTTCCATTTCATGCCAACTTTAAGCTTATGTAAGTATTACAAGACAAAATAAATAAATAAAATATTTTAGTCAAAATACAAAAGCTTTTGCTAAACAACTGTGCAGTTAATGGTTAGGGTTAGTTGTAGTCCCAACAAAAATGTTTATCCCAGAACACATTCTACTTTAAAAAATCAGTCACTTATGGATTTCCTAGGTTTGGTAGTGTTGTTAACCATGTCTCACTACTAGTTATTAAAACATTTTTGAGTGTGTTTCATTGTGGAAAAAAATCTTAAACGGGTTGTAAAATGCATTTGCTCCTTGTCATGGATAAGTGACTTATCTAGAGGGATGTTTAGACCCGTTTTTTTATTGAGGCTTCTAAAGTGCCTTTAAGTAATCCCTTCTTAATGTTATTCTTCTAAAATCAAAAATAATGTCTTTCTGATGTGGGCTGCTGTTTCAGTGTTGGATTTAAAATCGCACATTGCTCTTTTACTCTGAGATGTTACTTAGATCCTAAAACAATGCCCTCCATATAAAAAACTCAAGATTGTTACTACAAGAGCAGAAACCCCCTAAAGATGCATTGAGTGGACTTTTCACCTTGCATCATCTTCACAGCTGTGTTAAATCTAAAATCTCAAGCGCTTCCTTGAATTCAAGGGGAAATATTATGATTGGCTCCCTGTGAAAGCTTAATAGTTCTCAAAATATTTTGCAACATCGATATCAAATTCTTTCTATGTTGGTTTGTAAAAATGTCTTACTCTTGTGGTTTCACCCTTGTTTAGGTTTGCACAAGGATATTTACATTTCTTCCCTACAGCTATGTGCGTAAAATCGGTCTGATTCAGAACACGTGTAAACACACAGAGATCAAGGGTTATAAGTTTGAGAAGAATATACAAATATATTTAAAGTGAAATATTAAAATTGATATATTTTACATGCACAAATGATGTCTTTTTTTGTGTCGTCATCATCAGCCAAAACAATTATGATTAGCGTTTTAAAAAGAATATCTGTGGGTTCATGTTTTCATTCAGACAGGTTAAATCACGAGAACGCATGACGATTTTGAACATATCACTCAACATGCATAACATAGTATAACATAACTCCCAAAGAGTGGATAAAATACGGATACATCATAATAAATCAATCACAGACCACTTGAGGCCTGAGAAATGACCCGGATTCCTGTTACAGATATAGTTTTTTCTCAAATTTCTCATGTTCAGGATGCTGTGAGACACTCTCCAGGAAAACAGTGCAGATGACATCTGGTCATTTTACCACACAGGTTTCCTGTCTGCCTGAACATGCTTTCCTAACTGTCGGCATGAACTAATAAGCTTAAGTTATTAAGTAAAGAATGTTTTAAAATGATGTCACTGAAAAATACAATAGGAGCAAAATTAATACTGTATGAATAGTCTATGTAAAAACATAAGGAACTGGAAGAGAGAACTTATTGATTTCAACGTCTGTTCAAACAAAGCCTTTAAATGTTCAAACGTCTGCGAGCACAAGTTTCCACCGAATTCTCTGTTCCCTCCAAATCACATGTTTGCAGTCAAACCATGGCAGTAGAAAACAAATTCCTCCCATATTTCATAGTTATGTGTGAGCTTTTTTGAGGTAAACTCGTCTTATCCAGTCTTTATCTCCACTTTCACACATGTGCGCTCTTGGCATGACTGTTTATAGGAGGGCCAGAGCTAGCAACCCCACCGTGTTTTGAGTAGTAGTAGTGGTTTTCAGGATTCTGAGTTGGGCCCCTTGAGCAACAAATCATCATCGAGCTGCCAAAAAAACAGAGGGCTGAACCGACCCATCCAGCATACAGGGAGAATCCAAACGACATCAGGCCGTCCTCATGAAGCACTCCAATAGGGAACCACACTGTCGACACCATAGCACACAGTGCTGAAACAAAAGGAAGGGCTCTATAATGTTCAACATAATGACAGCACCATAATCATGGAGAATAACAGACTGACTAACAAGCATCATATTAGGAGTTTTATTAGTGTTTGTCGAGTTGCAAAAACACCCGTAAAAATTGGTCAGACAGAGTTGACCATGACTGGCTCTTCCCACTCTAACAGGATGTAGGAAATCTGGATGTTTTATAGTTACTTCAGTCAAGGTCATTTTCAGCCCTGTATGTTGAAATCATGATTTCAGGGAGGATATGATCAAACACAGGACATCTAGCATTTTGCTTAGAACTGCTGTATTTTCAAGAGTGTTATAAATTCCTGTCATTTCGATTCTGGAGTAATGCTCTAGTGGGTTGTTTGCAGCAAAATTATTCATTTGAATGACTGTACAAGGCATGGTACACAATTGTTATCTGTTAAATTCATTGTTAAATGCGTTTTGGGACCAACTAAAATTACAATGATGGAGTTGAATAAGTGTAGCACTTTACACAGGGTTCCAAAAAAGTTCCCGAAAAAAACTTTCAGTGACAGCTTAGTGCTTAAAAGAACTATTTAATTTCTTTGTGTACACTGTAAAAAAAATAAATAAATAAAAAATCATGATTTGTTATCATAACGTTTTTTCTTCTGTCAAATCAACTTGTGATAATTTATGTGGTTCAGATAACATAATATTTTGAGTTTCTGATTATTAAATCAATCTCCTTCATTGTATTAACTCATTTTTTCAATTTCAATGAACTTAAAGTTAAGGCAACCAGGTTACTTCATTTTTTAAGTGATCTCAGGCTACGTTTTCACAAAGCCGGGTATTTAGCGAAACAAATATTTTCCCCCTCTCCGTTTTTAAAAATAACATCGTTCACACACCCGCATAAGTACACCGGCGAGCGTCATCATAACTATGCCAAACCTATTGGCGGCAGTGTAGGAAGAAGGATAAAGCCATGCAAGCCAATCAGAATCCTCAGAATCGACAAGAGAGAACCTAAAACGCTGTTTCTCCCAGTTGGCACGACAACACATAACAGGCGTTTTCAGAAATCTCGAGTTTTTAGAAATAATCGTTTTCTGTGATAAAAACGGGGTTTTCGTGTAAACGAGAGGCCAAACCGCAGGGAAATATCTGCGTTTTCCCTTCGTGTAAACGGGGTCTCAAACTCAATTCCTGGAGGGCCACAGCTCTGCACATTTTTGCTCCAACCCTAATCAAACACACCTAATCCAGATGAGATCCATTGAGCTAATCAAGGTCTTCAGGATTACTAGAAACTTCCTTACAGGTGTGAGTTGGAGCTAAACTGTGCAGAGCTGTGGCCCTCCAGGTATTAGCCTTTCGCCGAGCCCCGCCCCCCTTAGTTACTGCTGCTACCTCCGTCAAACAAATGGTCAAACACGGGCAGCGCGACAGATTGCCATGACGGCAAAGGGTATTCCCGTGCGTGTCAGTGACCTTTTTTGGAGCAATACCTCCGCGATATCAAGCAAGATCGAAGCAAAAGGGGTTACGGTATGCGGTGGAGGGATTTATTCCAAATATAAAATTAAGAAATGAATGAGACACGACTACTATTGATGCTAATGCTTACCAGTCTCAAGAAAAATCAGAAAAACCCCATGACCATGCTAAGTTACCTCAAATGCAACCAGCACAGCCTTGAAGATTTTATAAACTGGTTCAGTGGCTAATTGTTTGGAGTTCGAAATATATAACTTGCGCTGCATATTTATTCATTTTGCCTCCGATACAGGAGTAGCACGTTCGCTTTAACAAGCAGGTTGTTCATTACCACAGCAACCGATTGCGTGTCATGCTCATGCTGAATGCGATTTTCGTGTTTAAAAAGTAACTAACGTTATGCATAAGAGACGGAAAGAGGCAGAGAACCATACGTTATTTAAGGTTATTTCTATTCGTTACGATATTGATATATGAACTGATGTTGTCATACAAGCTTCATGCTTTCCCCGTTGCGAACGTCCTCTAAACTGTAGTCTACGGTGCTGCACTGCTAACTTAGCTGACTGCTGCTCATTTTCCCAGAGAATATCATGGTATGTTAACAACAACCCTTTAGAAAATGTACAGTAAGTCCTTTGTGGATCCTCTTGATCTGCTTTCTCCGTGCTTCTTTGACTAATCTCAGTCGCACGCACGCTGCACGCGAGACGAGTTAACCATGTTCGACACATTTAACTGGAATTATCTTAGGCACCGCTCGCGTTGTGTTTTGGGCTTTGGAAAGGGAAAAAACACAACTTCTTCAGACAATCTCTCGGGGTATCATGTGTCCGATTTACTAACGCTGTGGGCGCACCGCTGACTGTTTGACGGAACAGCTCACACAGTAACGGTTGCTATGATGTGTGATTGGACAATGGCCATTTTGTGGGAGGGGCCGGCGAAAGGTCAATTGAGTTTGAGATCACTGAGTATTTTTTTTTACAGTGTGGAACATTTTAATTATATGACGCATGAATATTTTTTCACAATAAAGAACCTTCTGTGGTTCCATGGATGTTAAAGGTTCTTTATGAAAGCATACAACCTATATTTTGTTGCTTATGGTAAATATTATGTTGAACCCACATATTTAAACAGGAAAGTTCACTTAAAAATAAACTATGTGAACTATGTACTTCTAAGAAAATTGTATGATATTTTCTACTTCATATTTTATGCTGGTTTCCTTTCCTTTCCCTTCAATCCCTCAGTCCCCATTCATGCATTGAAAAGAGCAACAACCAGCTCATTATTAATTGCTTTCCTCCAGTTTTAAGACAAGGCTTAAGGTAGTCCAAGACTAAAATGCATGTTTGAGCTGTTTTAACTGAAAGCACCGTGCACTGAAATATCTTAAAATATGTTGTGCCATTGTTTTGTCTCAAGATGCACACACCAGTAATTTTTTTTCTGAGGCATGTTTATAAAAGCTACTTAAATGTCCTAACTGAACTAAGGCCTAATCCTGGAAATCTTTGAGTTCTAGAACAAATAGATTGAAACAAATTTTGGAACAACGTGAGGAAGAGGGAGAATAATGATTTGTGAGTGAACTATCCCTTTAAGAAATGGCAATTGAAATTGTATGAATAAACATGTGGCTGTCTATTTAATCAAGTTAATGACTCACATATGAAAAGTATAAGTAGTCCTCCCAGGACTGCACGTCTGTGTTTGGTGTCTTCGGTCTCTTGGCTCAGTTTGACGCAGGGCATCGCCAACAGCACGAGCGCCAGAGCGGGCAGTCCGAGCAGAGAGGCGGAGACCATCAGTGCGCGAGACGTCTGGATGTAAGCTAAAAATAAAAAAATGGCATAATGTGAAAATATCACAAACGACGCTTTACATTATGTTTCAAAAATTCGTGCGAATTTTTCGTTCCCTCCCCCCTATTAAAATGCATTTAAATGTGACCAATAAAAAAAAACTAAATATTGAATTGTTTTTACTCCATGAATTAAAAAAAAGCATACATACAAACATTGTTTTTTTTTTTTTTACCTCACCTGGTATATCGAGGATTTGGTTGAGTGAAATGCAGTGATAGAGAGCAGTAGAGATGACACACTCTGTCCACAAGCCCTTGGTCTCCAGCTCATCCATCTTCCTGCAGGTGTGCATGCCGTACTTACAGGTCACCACCCAGTCGTTAGTTGAGGTCGCTATTATAATACCAGTCCAGCCGATGCAGCTCATTAAAAAACCAGAGAGCAGGCGACAACTATGAGACATGATTTCTGCCTGAATGTGAAATGTGTTCCCAAAGAAAATGGTTACTGAAATATGCTCTTCAAGTCAAAAACATACAAAAACATAAAGTTATTTAAATATTCAACATAAAACGCATTCTGGAGAAGATTGTTATACTAACAGTTTGAGTATGGACTGTAAAACAATCCATCTGGTAAATGTAATTTTTATAGTGGACGTGCCCAGCAGAACTTTCGCCCAATCAGAAGGCAGATACGTCACAATCGCCTTCCCTCAAAACCTGGAGAATAACATCTTATCCAATAAAAAAAAAAAAAAAAAAAAAAAAAAAAAGAAAGAGAGAGAGAGAGAGAATAACATCCTACAAGTTTTCCCCACATACATTCATATATCATACAGAACAATCATATTATTTATAAAAAAAAGTCCTTATTTTTTTTCCAAAACTGACATGATAACAATATTACGTTAGTACGTGAAGTTTTCAATGAAGATGGGTGTTTATGTAGCCTACATATGACGAATTCCTGAAAATGTTTAATTTTCCTGCAACGCCTAGATAATTTGCTATCGTTTTCGATGCTATTCTCACAGGTGTAATTAAATTGTTTAAAGGTTTTGATGGTACTTTGTTTACCATACCACCTAATTTTTAATCCCACTTAAACAGTGGTGGGCAAGATTTGTTCAATACTCTAGCAGTAGGTCCATCCGTGCTCTCAATCAGGAAAAATATTGTTACCAAATCTTGTGTAATTACCTATTGGAGCAATTTTAGTTAACATTGTGGACTGAAGAAAAGTTTGGTTATTGTCACATTAAAACATGACCTTATTTTAAATAAAGTCAGAGAAGTCTCATTTAAATTAATTCATAGATCTAGAGAGAAGTTTCTGCTCATAATTTCTTTATCAGCGTTTTAATTATTCAACCTATTCCCAAAATAAATGATCATAATACTATTTTACAAATTACTACAGAACTTTATGTCAACCATGGCAATTTCTGATCAACTTACCATTTTGGGTGTGAATGCCATCTAGTGGTTTATATGGTTAGCTGTCACAAATTTTTGACATCATGAACATATCTGGACAGTGGCACTTCAGAGAAAACATACAGCATGAATATATTTGATATACAATAATGTTTTTTTTTTCTCGATTTTTTTCAAGAATTTAATAATAATAATAATAAACTACACACATATACATTATACAAATTTGGGGTCAGTAGGATGTTTTACATTAAAAAACAAACAACCATTTTTGTAGATGTAATTTGTTCTAGAAATGACAAAGTTGACTTTCCAAATAAAAAAAAAAATCTTCAAATAAAAATGTTTCAAATAAATTTTGTTCTCACAAAAATATTAAGCAGTCTTCAACATGTTTCTCGACCAAATCCTCATATTATTTTGTAACAATGTTTTAGTCTTTATTGTAATTTGAAATCAATTTAATGTGCCTTTGCTGAATAAAATTATTAATTTATATAAAAAAAAATCTTACTGGCCCCAAACTTTTGAACGGTAGTGTTCATAACCCACAAAATTGGGTAAGCTACACTGCCACCTGCAAAAGCACAAAAAGAGAAGGAGAGAAAAAAGAAAATGAGGAATTAATGATCAATTCAAGGTTTCATAACAAAATGTAGTTGGTTTAATTAAATAATCAAAAGTGGCACAAGAAAGGTAATGTAACAATGAGAAACAACACTTGATGACACAATCTAGCACATAGTTTGCCTCAGCAAAATGCCTACAGTAGTTTCATAAGGTCTCATAAAAAAGGCACCTTTTCACTGCCTTGATTGAAAACGATTGCCTTTGGATACCCTCTTATCTTATTCTTTGACAGCTTGTCTGATTTACACAGAACCACTGTGGAGATTTCACAAAATGTAATTCATGTCAGTATCTCAAACGTCATTTAAAAATGTTTATAAACTTGAAATGAATCGCATTTGTACTTTCTAGAGCCTTAGAAGACAAATATATTAAATATTACAAATCCTTCACAAAACTTTTTTTTTAAATTTATACACACAGAACACTGCATTGTTATACATGTATACATGGTATGGAATACGATAGGAAAATATATACATTGGGACATGCACACAATAACAGCACTTCCGTTCATGTCAAACCTCTCCACACTGACACAGGAAGTGATCTCCTTTGCTCTCAGTCAAAAATATAAAATCATTGACCCTGATCATGATTACCCATACAAAAAAGGAGACGCTAACAGTTCCCTCCTACTGCGATTAAATATACATCCTGTAAAACGCTCACAGACTGAGACCATTATATTGCTACCATGCTTTCAGACAGAGGCTAAGTTTACAAGAACTGTAAGGTTTTGCTAGTTTAGTTCAAGCAAATACATGTAAGCTTTTTCATAACAATGAAATTATCGCATAAATCTCTGAAGATTAAAGTGCACAAAATGGCTCTATTCTATTGGCAAGTGCTCTTATGGTCCACAAGGATATACCTAGCTTCTTTTGTGTCTCAGTTTCACTCTCTTTATCTTCCACTTTCTTTCAGGGAGTTGATGCGGGCGCATATTTTGAGAGCAGGGCCGAGTTTGATATTCAAGGCGCTCATCAAATGGTCTTCGGTCAGCAGAAGCAAGGCCTGCCCGTCTATCTCTTGGGCTCTGAAAGATTCTGCAATGTCTTGACACCCTGAGACAATTTAGATGGTGTTAAAATTTAAAGTTAAAATTTAAAAAAATTATAATTAATAATTTGTCAAGACAAACTTTGATGTTGGCCTGAGAATGACAGAGAGACAGACAGACAGATAGATAGATGAAAAGACAGACAGACAGGCAGACAGATAGACAGATACATAGATGAAAAGGCAGGCAGACAGACAGACAGACAGACAGACAGACAGATAGATGAAAAGACAGACAGACAGATAGATGAAAAGACAGACAGACAGACACAGATAGACAGATAGATAGGCAGACAGAAAAAAAATTGTCAAGACAAACTTTGATGTTGGCCTGAAAATGCCAGACAGAGAGACAGACAGACAGACAGAGAGACAGACAGACAGACAGACAGACAGACAGACAGACAGATAGATAGATAGATAGATAGATAGATAGATAGATAGATAGATAGATAGATAGATAGATAGATAGATAGATAGATAGATAGATAGATAGATAGATAGATAGATAGATAGATAGATCAAAAAATGTCAAGACAAACTTTGATGTTGGCCTGAAAATGCCAGACAGAGAGAGACAGACAGACAGACAGAGAGACAGACAGACAGAGAGACAGACAGACAGATAGATAGATAGATAGATAGATAGATAGATAGATAGATAGATAGATAGATAGATGAAAATGCACACTGACAGATAGATGAAAAGGCAGACAGACAGATAGATGAAACGGCAGACAGACACAGATAGATAGACAGATAGATAGACAGACAGACAAAAGAATTTGTCAAGACAAACATATAGATAGATAGATAGATAGATAGATAGATGAAAATGCACACTGACAGATAGATGAAATGGCAGACAGACAGATAGATAGACAGATAGATGAAAAGGCAAAAAGGCAGACAGACAGACAGATAGATGTGGCACATTGTTACTTTTTACCTGGTAAATTGGATATAAAGCTTGACACTTGATCCACCGACCACTGTGCTGGTTTTGGGTAGGGGGAGACCTCTGTGGGAGACACAGGGTCTATGGGTGAGGTGGGAGTACTTCTCGTCTCCTCCACCGTTTGTCTGACTCTAATCTCTCTCTCTCGTTCCTGTTCTGTGTGTCTGCGGAGCCTGGTCTTCATCGGGGCGGCCGTCCCATCTTCCCCCTCATGTGGTGGCTGTTGAAGGATTCTCCACTGCTCCGTGGTCCCATGTTTGGCCTATGCGGGAGTAGAGTTTAGTAACGCTCACAGAACACAAACATGCACATTGTTTTACAGGCCTTGGACAAACCTGGTGGAAATTTTCCTCTGCGCCATTGAGCTCAGATCGATGGCCCCCCTCACTCACACAGCGTCTGAGCGCACGGAAACGTTTGGTGTAACTGAACCTGCAAAAAGATACATGGAGGTAAACGCAGGTTGTCTTTAAAGTTAACCCAATACACTGACCAAAATCAGCCTTGCAGCTCGTAATGTGTGTCAGGGGTTGATGTTTATCACAAACCATGACCACATCCTGTCTCAGTATGTATGTGTAAGTGTATGAGTATTTTTTAGGACAATGCTAGTGACTAGCTTTAAGTGCATGACTCACTATTCAAACATACTATATACAGTGGCCCTATAAGTATATTATGAACACTGTTGCACACTTAAAAATGTATGAAAGTCATTGCATTAGATACAATATATAAAACCAAGTGGCATATGCAAACAAAATGATGCTGCTTTTCTCTGCACTAACTATACAGTCATTTTGCGATGACCAGGCAGTGTCAGTTTAGTGTATGTATGAAGTCAGTTCCTCAAGTTCACACAGGTGTCCTAGTACAGTAACCACAGATGTAGTTCACCACATTACCTATACGCATGTTCCAGTTGACAACCAGAACAGTTACAGTTACATTTACACACACACACACACACACATATATATAAAAGATCAAAAAAGTTTTAGATCGTTAAGATTTTTTATGTTTTTAAAAGTAGTCTCTTCTGCTCACCAAGGCTGCAATTATTTGATAAAAAATACAAAAAAACAGTAATATTGTGAAATATTATTACAATTTAAAACAGCGGGTTTTCTATGTGAATATAGTGAAGTGTAATTTATTCCCGTGATTAAAGCTGAATTTACAGAATCATTACTCCAGTCTTCAGTGTCACATGATCCTACAGAAATTATTATAATATGATGCTCAAGAAACATGTATGATTCTTATCCATGTTGAAAACAGTTTTTTACATTTTTATTTCAGGATTCTTTGATGAACAGAAAGTTCAAAAGAACAGAATTGATCTGAAATGGAAAGCTTTTGTAACATTAATCACTACCATTCAAAAGTTTGGGGTCAGTAAGAATTTATTTTTTTATTTTTGGGGGAAAGAAATTTGAAAATACTTTTATTCATCAAGGATGAGTGAAATTGATCAAAAGTTACAGTAAAGACATTTATAATGTTAGAAAAGATTATATTTTAAATAAATGCGGTTCTCTGAACTTTCTATTCATCATAGAATTTTGAAAAAATGGTACA